GCAGGTACACCTTCATTAAGTTTTAATGTTGGTTGTACTTTGAGCTTTAGTTTCAGTAACGACTTCGGCACCGGTTTAACAAAGAAGTTATGTTTGGTGGAATCTTTTGGTAGAGTAGCTGTTGTTAAGTTCAGCAGCTAATGGGGATCTAATAAATAAATAAATCGTGCTGTTGTAAACAAAACAAAACCAACATCTGTCATCATCTTGGAGCCATAAATGTAAAAAAAATAAATATTGTGCCAGTCACTTCAGTAAGTAAGTACTGTAATTAAAGTCAGAGGATGACTGAAATCAGCAGGATTCATTTTCTGGGAACCATGAATCTCTGCACAACTTTGCAAATGATCTTATAGAAATCCTTGAAACTGGACTAAAGCGGTGCACGGACCAACCAATGGCCGAGTCCCGCTGCCTGCGTGCTTAAAGCCATCACTGCTTTGAATATAATCAGGTTGGATCAGTGATTAAGTAGCTGCGACCTTTCAATGTTAAAAGATTCCACCTGCTCCATTTAGGCAAACAGCGTAGGTCTTAAACACACCGCAGTGCAAGGATGATCTTATGATCACGAATTACTCACATGATCTGAAGCTCCACGGCATCAAACGCTGCACGGAGCTGTAATGACAACCCCCAGCTTCTAAATCACGTAAAGGGCATATAAATGCTCCCCAGCAATGTGAATAATGCTTTTACGGGACTGAAATGCATCAACCTTGAGAGTTGCCTTGTGAAACAGGCCCGCTGAGGCCCCTACAATGCAAAAGGATCCCCTCGCACTGTTGTGTTTGGCAGATGATGAAATGATGCGTGTGCAAAGCTTTGATTGAAGCCAGTTTAAATGACACCTCTTGTTGGGTGCGTCAGTAATCCCCCCGCGGTGTGTTTGTCACAGGTCAGGCCACATATGAATAATGTATTGGGAGACATCTGACTGAGAGGCTGGTTAAAGGTGGCGCTCCCTCTAATGACAGCAAACAAGCTCTCTCCCTGACATTTCCAAGGAAAAAAGGAGGGAGGCAGGAAGAAAAGAGGAGGGGAGGGAAGGGGAGGTAATGACAAACAGAGATCGAGGGAGTCAGATTAGTCTTTCAATCCAAAGTACTCACTCAATTTGTTTGGCTACAGTATGATGAAATGCGACAAGATGGCTTTGTCTTTGATGCGTGGTGTGACATTCACAGCAGCTGCATGGTAACTACAACTATTTGCTGTTGGATTAAATAGTTATGAAGCATCTGTCTGGATGAAAATAATGCAATTATTCCCCCGATTGAAGCCCCAGAGACATTTGGAGCATCCATATTTGAATGTTTCTTGCTGCAGAAAGACAGATTAAAACATGCGTGCTTTATCATTTATAAGCTGTAGGTAGGTAGAGAATTACCACCAACTCACTGAAGTCTGTCTGACTTTCTAATGTCTCCATCTACTTAGTTTTAAAACAAAGAAACACATGTAAATTGACCTTAAATGTGCACTTGGTGGCTGCATAAAAAATGGAGTCTAAAGCTTCCAGGCAAAAAAAAAAGTCATCCTCACTAGCTCATGACCCACGTAAGACAAGTAAAGAAGGAGTAGCTTGTTTTTGTGTGGCGGCGTAGAAGCTCTTTTGCCACGTGTTAGCGTTATAAATAAAAATGCAATTAAAACATGCTTCTTGAGAGCGAGCAAATGACTAAAACTGACAGGGAGAGGAAATTACAGAACACCTCTGTGAATAACATAAATCTGTGTGTGCAAAAATGTTTTTTTTGTCCTCAAAATGACTCATTGCGCATTCCACAAGCCGTGCAGACAGTAGCGAAGTCATTTGGGAACTCATTTGGGGTCCTGTTTTATAGGTGCATATGGCAAACATCATTATTTTGCATTTGAAATCACACCGTTCAAATCCCCGGGAACAAATTTACACACCCGCTAATGACCGGCCAGACACTGTGATTCCAAACAGGTGGAAAGGAAGTGGAATTAAGGTGCTCGCGCAGCTTTGTTTGAAAGAATGTGAAGTGTATACACAAATTAAAATAACATGTCGCTGTGGATGTTTTGAATGTCTTGATACTCGTCCTCCAGAATGTAATCTTTGACTGCATTGTCCTATTTGAATCCCAGTAGAAGAAGAAGCAGATCGTTATCGCTAAAGGAGCATAACTTCCAATCTGCAACTTACACTTGATCTGATTAAGGCTGCTGCGTTTTGCCCTTGGGTGATGTCTGTAGCCTTGCACGGGGAGAGATAACCCGATCTCCACTCCTCTAGCTCAGAGTCCAATTTAGCAGCTCAAAACTATGAATAAATCTAACACTCTATAATTGAATTCTTCAAACAGAGCAGATTTTCAAGGTTAGGCCCAAATGCAAATCCATTTTCCAGCCCGAACAATGAAAAGTCGTTTTCATTGATCTTAAAGAGAAAATATGTTTGGCGGCAGGGAGAGACAAAGTACGTATATTTTTTAATTTAAAGGACAATTAAAGTAGACATTGTAGTGTCATTCATGCCCATTAAGAGTCCTACTACTGTAGTCGTTGTGGGGGTTAATTATTAATATATCTTTGTTGTACGTCTGAACCCGGCATGTGCAACTGTAAATAAATACTCAAAAATAAGAGATGTAATTATGACTCACAGCTGAATCATCCACAGCAACTTCTGAGGCTTGTATCAATACTCGTCCCTTTCTGCCTTCACAAGATGCCCGGAATGATAATTTCCATTAATTGTATGGCGGGCTAGTTAGTATTTATTCAGCATGGTTTCCCTAATTATTTCTCCGGACGTGTTTTGTCGTGTGCATAATTCGTCATTCCTCAGGGACAGTGTTGTGAGTGGGTGTGCTGAGAGAGCCGGCTAATAGGGGGGAAATGGCATTGAATACCAATGCACAGACCAGTCAGTCCTTGCAGAGAGACCAGACACTGTGTTTGTGTTTGTTGTGTGTGCATGTGTCAATGTGTGTGTGTGTGTGTGCGTGCATTTGTTTTTTGTGCATGGTTGCACATCACATATGCATGTCAGTGTGTGTGTGTGTGTGTGTGTGTGTTTGCTGTATGTGTGTGCGCGTTCTGTTTGCTGCTCTGTCCCCACTCACATCCCGTCTGGATCGAAACCCTGCCCTTCCTGTGCTAAAATAAACCCACCTTGGGAAGTTGAGGACCTTGCACAGAGCGCTGAGTGTTACACCTTTTGATTTTTCACTCACTTGTATCAGGAGACTTGCTTGCAGTCCGTGACTTTGTGCAGTGCGTTTAGCGTCACCATAAATACATTAAAATCGCTGCAAGGGTTTATCTCAGCAGTGTTTATGTTCTATTTTTTTTGGCACAGAGCATCGACAACGTCATGTGACTAAAATCATCCATTATCTATACACCGCTTAATCCTCATTAGGGTCGCGGGTGACTAAAATCAGCTGTTATTAAATCACTTTTTATTATCAGCTTAAACATTTAACCAATAACGAACGATCACAAAAGAAATAAATAAGCAGCCCTGTCACAGATTCATCAGTATTGATATCTATGCTGTCGCGCATGCAGTGATATAAAAACAAAGAATTGTACTGAATATAATGTAGAAAAAGATGCTTTGGGTAATTTAGAAATGGCGTTACACACTTTGTCCAGCAGAGTGGCTCAGACGCCATTCAATACTCTGCAGCACATGTAGCAGAGAACATATCACAGCTGGTGGTGTGGAGTCAAGTGGCGTCTTCACAGTGAGCTGCTAACTAGTTTGTTAAACACATTGCTTGAAAGTGAATTAACAATGACCAATAAACAAACTTTGCTTCTCAGTGTTGATATATTTAGCATTTTCCCTTCCTAATATAACTCAAACATATATAAATGTGAGTATATATTTAAAGTCTGTTAATTGATTGTGATTGTGTCAATATTGGACATTTTCTTACTTTCTATCCGCAACAAAAATCCGGTTCGTGGTCATTCAGGGTCTAGAAAGGAATCTGCATGTGCAAAAAAAGAAAAAAGCCAGAAATTAATGTTTTGGTGAAATTTAATTTCTTTTAATGTTCATATTTAAAAGGAAAAACACATTACATCATCCCATGCCAAACAGCACAGCATTTATAACTTTGGATAGTTTCAACACCCCTCCATACGGTGGGGTTTTATGCACATACACACAGCTCAAGAAGAAAACACACACAAAACACACAATGGAAACACCTTTAAAAAAAACTTATGACCCATAACTACACTGGTATCAAAGACATTTATTGATAATTCAGGTAAGACTAACTAACATTTGGCAGATGATCTCACTTTTTAATCATTGAACGTAACAGCTGATGCAGTACAACCTGCGTCAGTCTGTCAGAAATGCTGCCGTTTACTTTCAGACAATAGAATATTATCGGGTGATGCACTTTCTTTGAACACTCGTGTACCGCTCTGATCCCTTTTCACAAACTGTCTCACCTTGACTTTTAAACGATCCCATTAATGATTGATTTTAGGTTCTGTGGGAGAGAAGCTGCACATATTGATCCACAAAAACAGAGAATCGTCTGTCCAAAGGAGATTTTTATGAAAACACAAATCCCCGTTGAGGCACCCTGAGTTACAGAGACCCCACAGGGCTTCTCCGTGTCATTGAGCAATGCAGCAGCCTGATTATTTTCAGTTCGCTTCAGTCAGCAAAACTTTGCATATTTAGTTAAGGACTTCGCTGCCCTTAAAGGACTTCTTTTCCATACTGGCTTAAATGCACAATTCCATGACAAGTGGACAAACTTGAGCTAATTAAGATCATGCAATGCGATGAAAAGCTCCAGAACCGTTCGTATATGGACTCTGTGGCGAGATTGTTTTTACAATTTTGGTTTCCAAGGTCAAGAATAAACTTTGCATCTCAGAATTAGCATATTTAGCTTCTTGAGAACAGTAGTGAGACTTGATAAGCTTCTTTACTGTAATATTTATGTGAATGTTTTTGTCTCAGTCCTTGTCATTCTCACTTTCTCTTGCAGCTCATAGTGGAGAAGACCACAGACTTCCCCTCTGCTGAGTTCTCTCTGGTGGAGGATGTGGCTCTGCACTTCACCTGTTTGATGGACAGGCTGAACGAGCAGCGCCTCTTCCAGCCTGACCTGTGTGACGTTGACATCGTTCTGGTGCGTCAGCACAGCACCTTCCCGGCCCACAAGGGTGTGCTGGCAGCCTACAGCCCTTTCTTCCACTCTCTTTTCGCCCAAAGCAAACAGCTGCGACGGGTGGACCTGTCACTGGACGCTCTGACCTCTCAGGGCCTGCAGCAAATCCTCAACTTCATTTACACTTCCAAACTGCTGGTGAGCAGCCGCACAGTCCGCGACGTGCTCAACGCCGCCACCCTGCTCCAGATGAGCGACATCGCAGCCTCCTGTCGCGACCTCATCAGCAGCCACTCGCTGAGAACCACCTGTGCAGATATGGCCAATCAGGAAGGGCTTGGCAGCAGTGACCCAGCTGCTGTAGCGATGCCCCCCGGCCAGCTGTACCGGGAGATCAAACAGGAGTCAGAGCTGGGCAGGGTGTACACGAGGGAAGGCAGCAGCCCGTTTTCTGTCAGGGTGGAGGAGGCCGGAAAGGCAGCCTCCCAGACCAAGCAGTACTACCAGAAGGAGGAGGGCTCAGGAGGCGGGGGAGGCACAGGTGTGGCTGCTTTGTGCAAAATGGAAGGCAACGAAGAAGAGTCGAAGAGTGCAGATGGCCATGCCTCCTTCAACAGAGACCAGATCATCGTTGAAGTCAACCTCAACAACCAGACCCTTAACGTGTCAAAGGGATCAGAGGGCAAATCAGCCACAGAGACCGCCACCATATTTGGTCGATGCCACGACAACGAGCAAGACTCAGAGGGCGATGACGAGAACGAAGTGGAGAACGACGACGCGGTTGGGGAAGAGGATGATGAAGACCTGAAGAGGGGCGACATGTTGGGGCAGAGCAGTGAAGAGGAAGACGAGGAGGAGGATGAAGAAGAGGAGGAGAACACCTTAAACATTCCAGGCTTGGAGCAGCCGACCCTAATGGATCGACCCCGGCGGGGCACCAGAGCCTTGACCATGGCGGGAACCACCGCCTCCATGCGGCAGACGCTCGCCGAGGCCACGCTGGCCAACCAGCGGCCGGGCGGCAAGCGGACGCTGGACGCGGAGGGCCTGGGCCAGAAAGTGAGGCTGGAGGAGAAGCAGCACTTCCCGTGTAAGAAATGCCCTCGCATCTTCAACAACCGCTGGTACCTGGAAAAACACATGAACGTCACCCACAACCGCATGCAGATCTGCAATAACTGCGGGAAGCGCTTCCTGCTGGAGAGCGAGCTGCTGCTGCACCAACAGACCGACTGTGAGAAGAGCATCCAGGTACAATTCTGCCATGATGGTAAAAGACATCCCCCTTTAAAAATCCGAGCATTGTTCCCCCATTTTCACTATTGTAAGACCCGGTGACGTCACCAGATTTTGACATGCTTGTTAGAAAGTCATGTAACAGTCGTCACATATTGTCTTCATAAAATTGCCAAAATTGCACCATTTATCGGAACCAGAACTCAGAGAATTGTCCGATTTTGTACTTTCCGACAGTCCTTAAACTTTCCATCTCTGACATGCTCATGTTTGATTGGGAAAACAATCAGTCCTGAGCTTAGAATCATGCTATTTTATCAAAATCCTTTTATTTTACATGTCTCATGAAAAATGTAATTTTAATAAGCCACTTGTACTAATCAGATTCTGTAAAAGAAACAAAGATTGTGTGTACCTCGGGGCAACTATTATGCCAGCTGTGGCCAACAAGACAAAAAATTCAGGGTCTTTTTGGCTGAACTGCAGACTGTGTTTGCACGGAGCACATCGGGATCAAGTATGAAAATCTATAGTATGTAGAGTCACCACTTCTTTTTTTTTTTTGCAATATTCTAAACACCTGTGGGCACTTAGAAAAATATTGCACATCTTGATCCCTTTTTTAAATGAAATAAGTAATCATAGAAACTCAACTATCCTTTTTTTCCCCCTTTTTTTTAATGGATTGTGACATTATAACTGTGTCGTACTGTTCAGAAGACACTTCTGAGACATTTTCTCCACTTCTAGTCATGGTTGTGCTCCTTCCACAGAGGCGCAGGATTTTATATTGCAGTAAAAAAAGAATGAGCCCACAGTGAGCAAAAATGTGACGGGAACAAAGAAAACAAATAACCAGCCAGACACTATTTGGAGTTCAGAAGCGTAAAAAAAAAAAAAAAAAAACAATGAAATCCTGCTTGAGCCACATGCACACTTTAAGTATTTCCATTAATTTGCCCACAAAAGATGATCCATGCAAATATAAACAACATACATCAAGCCTAATCAATATATAATCATTCTTTAGTTGCTAATTGGTATAAGCACAGTTGCAGTCATTAAAACCGGTCAGAGTCAGTAACTCAGTCAACTGGCAGTCAGTAATCAACTTTGCTATGTCTCACTACCTCCACTATTACCCCCTTTGCACCGAGCAGCTGGACTCCTGCTGTGGTTCTGAAGATCATTTGCTGCTTTAATCTAGTGACTCTAATTGCTTTTTTTTGCTAGAGTGAATGCTCAAGTATCTGTATAAACACACACACCTGGGTTGTATTTGTAAAGACTGTTCCAGATAATGATCTCCTCAAATAATTCCAGAAAATCGTTCTGTTTCGCCCTCTTTTGTGTTTGTTTTTTTTTCCTCTCCAAAGTGTGTGACATGCGGCAAGGCCTTCAAGAAGCTGTGGTCGCTACACGAGCACAACAAGATCGTCCACGGTTACGCCGAGAAGAAGTTCTCCTGCGAGATCTGCGAGAAGAAGTTTTACACCATGGCTCACGTCAGGAAGCACATGGTCGGTGAGTGGCGGTAAAATCAGCTCCCCCCCCCGGTTGGTTGTTTCATTCCTGTGTGTTACTTTCGGCTTCCTCTTCCACGTCCAACTGATTGTTGTTGATTTGGGTGTTGCTTTCCTTTTTCCACTTTTTGGGGGGGAGATAAGCATCTTATTTCCCAGACGGGACGGACGTACTTCATTTATTGTGTGCATCCATGTTTCTACAGTTAAGGAAGGGTTTATATTAAGCACTTACAGTCTTTCCTACTCGAGAGGTCGATGTGGAAACCTCAGAGGAAATGACTTATCTAATAGATGAGACACATCCATTGTCCTTAGCAGCGTAATGAGCCAGTCAAAAAGCATCTCAGTGTTGTTCTTTAAATGCTATTTTTGGGGGGATGCAGTTTGTTTGTTTACCCTCCTGCTGCCATTGGATCAAGAGTGACTCAATAGTGAATCGCACGAACTTATCTCGTACTGTGTGTGTGTGTGTGTGTTTATGTGTGTGTGTGTGTGTGTGTCTAGCCCATACGAAGGACATGCCGTTCACCTGTGAGACGTGTGGGAAGTCGTTCAAGCGCAGCATGTCCCTGAAGGTTCACTCTCTCCAGCACTCAGGAGAGAAACCCTTCAAGTGTGAGGTTTGAGCTCCTTTTATACTCTGCTGCTCCACACTTCACCCGCATGGAGGGTTTCATTCCAAACCTCAGATACATTTCAAATACTTTGCAATATTGTTTCTATTTCACATATATATCAACTTTTTATGGCTTTTCAAATACTCATGCTGGGGGTCAAGAAATCCAGATGAGGAAGGCGTCAGGATGCACCTATCTGAGCAGACCGGGGGGGAAATGATCATTAACAAATCATTTGGCTATCTTTATACTCCCCATTAGGCACTTAAACTGTGAATATTGATTGGTCTATTAGTGTTTCTTTCTGGCAGCATTCTCGTTTCCACGCCGCACTCCTAGATGCACGGTCTCCCTGCACTTTTGAAGGTGGTTTTGCTGCATTTGGGAATATTTGATAGAATAAACCGCTTAAAGAAATAGTTTGAAGTTGTGTATTAGTTTAGCTTAGAGTAAGAGTAGAAACAACAACCACTTTCTGATGATGAGTGATATCATCTAACATTCAGCAAGAAAGATTTAAATTCAGTGCCTCATTTGTCTGGTTTTTCTTCAAATTGATTGAAGCTAACCAATTGCCCTCTTGTTCACCAGTTATAAAATGTTTCTGTGTAAAACTTTCTCTCTTTGCCATTTCAGAACTGCAGCGAGCGCTTCCAGTACAAATACCAACTGCGCTCCCATATGAGCATCCACATCGGACACAAGCAGTTCATGTGCCAGTGGTGCGGAAAGGACTTCAACATGAAACAGTACTTCGACGAGCACATGAAGACACACACTGGTGAGTCACTTATTCGCAGGATATTTGCGAATTTCCGTGGCTGTGTTGATGCTGAATCACAGCATGGGGGGGGTTTAAACCGACGTTAACCCTCTGAGGTCGACTGACACGCCAACCTCTCTGCTCGTGTTTCTATGTGCGATAATATGGTGCATTGTCCAGTTCAGAGGAGTTTTTCTCGTGGGATCGCATCTGGGAATTAAGCAAAATATGCAAAAATCCCTGAAAGGCCTGTAGACCTCAGAGAGTGAAGTTTTTTGAAGGCAACAGAAACAAGCTGTAAACACAGACACCTTATGAAGTTCTCATGGTGAGCTTGTTAGGAAACTGTTCACTACATCTAGCCGACATGAAATCATTTTCATTTTGGATCTGTGTGTCCAAAAGTAATCACCTTTTGATTTACGTCTGTTTTGCTTTCCACCTATTCCTGAGTGAGATAGAGTCATCCTCAAATGCATTCACACCCTCCCATTAAAGAAGGGTGTGCTGGCAGCAAAAGTAATAATAAATAAAAATGTAATGAAAATCATGACATTGCTTTTGAATTGTGGTTCAACAGAAATATTAGCCAAAAAAAAAAAAGCATCATGGGACCAGCAAGCGAATATTTCATTGAACAACTCTTTGAGCCAATCACTGCAATCAAGTGTTTCTGTAACTCTCCATCAGAGTTCTGCACCTGTTGACAGACATTTGGATTTTGGCTCACTGCTCATCAGCAAAGTGCTCTAATTTGTCTGGGACAGTTTTGTTTTTTGTTTTTTTAATTATTATTTTCAACCACAATTTAAAAGCAATGTCTTAGTTCACTAAATTATAATTTAGCAATTTTTTATTTATTATTACTTTATAAAATTTCTAGTTATCTGAGGGACTTTTGTGAAATTTGCCTTTTCTTTAATGGAATGGTATGAATACATTTGAGGACGACTGTATGTGGCTCTTTCGCTGCTGAATTCTCGTCTGTGTTCCTCGTTAATTTTACCTGTCTGCTGTTTGTCGCTGAGCAGGTAGCATGAAGTGGGATTTTAGAGCATATTTTACCGAAAACAGCTGCCTGTTGCAGCTGTAAGAAATTCTGATGGGGAACATTCAGAGTGAATCAACAGTAAAGTTAAGGGCCATAAATTAAAACAATGTGCCGAAAGCTGTGAGGCAGTTCAGCAGAACTGAGAAGAACTGCACAGTTGGGTGATAATTCGCTGAGGGGTTGTCACCGTGAGCAGCCACTTTCACGTTTGACGCGTTCATTTGATGCATTGTCCATATTAAATATTGATTATAGCGCCATTAAATGTTCTGATGAGTGCTCAAAGTGTATCCAGGAAGTATGTTTTTCTATTTTTTTACCTCTTTGTGTCTCTTTCTGCAGGAGAGAAGCCGTACATCTGTGAGATCTGTGGGAAGAGCTTCACGAGCCGACCCAACATGAAGCGCCACCGCCGCACCCACACTGGAGAGAAGCCGTACCCCTGTGAAGTTTGCGGGCAACGCTTCCGCTTCTCCAACATGCTCAAGGCCCACAGGGAGAAGTGCTTCCGCGTCAGCAACCCCATGGTCGCCGACGGCAGCGACCCCCTCGGCCTCGACCGGCCCCTGGCCTCGCCGGCCGTGGACTCTTCCGGTCAGGTCCAGCTGGGGACGGCGCTCCCCGCCACATCTGTGACCACGCCCGCTGCTTCCTCCAGCCCCCACCCCCTCCACGGCACCCAGCTGTCTCTCCCCCTGCTGCACTCCATGGGGGGGCTGCCTCCCACCCCGCATTTACCGCCACCGCCTCCCCTGTTCTCTGCTGGTAGGATGAACTCCAACAACTAACAAATCTCTGTAGCATTGAAAGCACTTTGTTACTTTTGTTTCATTGTTTTTCTTTGAGCTTTTAAGAGGACTCCTGCAGCGGGAGAGTGATGCACCTCGGTGGCATTTACTGAGGAGGAAAAACTGAAGAAAAAAAAAAAAAAAAGGCTACACGGAGGCCTCGTATAAAAACACACACCTACCACAAGAAGAAATAGTTATTTTTTACTCTGTCGAATACAATAGCTAACCTCAGAGTCCAGTAGGACGTCTCATCATCACTCTTCTGCTCATGATTTTCACAGCTCTGTCCTGGTTTCTTTTGAGATTTTTCCGACACCACACACATCTCTCGAGAGCCTTGCACAATGCATTGATTGTAGCGTCTTTTACAAAATGGGAGGAAGAGTTTCCTAAATCTTCACTCATGGGGAGGGAAGGGGGGGGTCATCAGCTGAACGAGAACCACACCAAGATGAGAAAAACAAAAAGATTTATTTTTCGTTCTCTGCCAAGATGTAGCGAGTGGTTCTGGTCCGACCCAGCAATAACCAAATGCTGATTTGTCTTTGAGCATATACATGTATATGGCGTTGCCAATAACCAAATCCTGTTAGCTCACCTGCTATAGTTAGGTAATGTTATACAGCATTTATAATCGATCCTGCACCTTACATTTAACTCCAGTGATATTTAAAATGTACTCCTAACTGTCTTCATTTTTATAATTGTGATAGTGTGTAACTCGTGGCACGTTACGTCAATTTCTAAGGACATAAGAGAAGTTGTGATGTGTGGAGAGTCGGCCGTGCAATGCAGTGTGTGGTGTTTGTGATGGTGTGCGTGTGAGATGCGATGGCAGAGGCTGGAGGTGAGAATCCTCAGATCTACGTTCAGCTAATCAACGCTTGAGCTTCCCCGAGTCAGGAGATGGAGGAATCTGTTGACTCTCATCTTTTTGCTTACATTAAGCAAGCGCGCTCCTCTCCTGCAGATTTGGCTTTGAGACGATATGGCACTTTTCTGTGACTTGTTAGTAAAAAAAAAAAAACCTAATGTACTCGGACCTACAGTATATTTGTAGGTTTAACTCTAATGTTATTGTCAATGTAACTTACAGCTCATTTCCCAACTAAACCCGATCTGTGTAATTAGTTATCAAGAGTGTAGGGATAGAAATCATCACCAAAAAACATGCTTATGTAGCTGAATTAAGTAATCCATATCGTGAAAGAACAAATGCTACATTATATTCCAACGCCTAAATTTCCTAAAGAGCACTGACAGTGATTCATTTTGGCACAACAGAGCTTGTCACGAAAAGGCCTCCTTACTGTTAAATTAAAAGATGGCAATTTTTTTGTTGTTGTTTTGTTAAATCAATAATCTGTAGCAGTTCATTACAATTGGGTATATGCTGTATAATGCAGTATAACACCCCTGGAAATTCTGTGGCTCTGTGTACACTTTTGACAATTGTGTGAGTAGATCTAAAAAAAAAAAAAGTAATTAAAGGGAAAAATACGCTTATTTGCTTTCCTGTCGAGTCATACGAGAAAATCAATACCACTCAGATGTCTGTTAATCAAACACCAAGCGATGTGTTCACAGAAAGACAAAAGTTCACCTTCGAGTGTCTCTGAAGCCGCCTAGTTAACACGTTACAGCGTATTTGTCAGATTCACACGCAAAAAAAGTGTGAAAATGACAACCTCTGGTATCACAGCAGGTTGTGTGCTTTACTGTTTCTTGGCACAGTGACTTGCCAGAGTTCTCACAAGTCTCTCTCTCTCTCTTTTTTTTTTGTTGTATGAATTAAACAAGTAAAAATATTACTTTAGCCTGTCTGCGCTAATATAAGCTAACCTGCTACTAACTGTAGCTTAAAGAGCCCATATTCTGCACATTTACAGGTTCATGTTTTTATTTTTTGGCTCTACTAAAGTATGTTTAAATGCTTTAGCGTTACAAAAACATATTATTTTCTCGTGTTATGCAACACTGCTGTGTTTTAGCTCCTGTCTCTTTAAGGCTCCTTTCCCAAAAAGCCCGGTCTGCTCTGATTGGTCAGCCACCAAAAAGAAGGCAATTTTGGTTATTACGTATCTTCCTGAGTTGAGATAGAGAGACATAGCCCTATCAGAGACAACTCTAGAAAACAATGGCCGCTTATTCTTTGTTTGAGAGTCAAACTGGCTGTTAGGGAAGCATTATGCAAATGTGTTACATGATGACATCAATATGTAACAGCAGAAAAGCCTGGACTTCAACTGAGATGTTTCAGGCAGTTGAGGAGCAGCGCCTTCTGTGGGAGAGCATAAAAATCTTTTAACTTTATAAGTTTGCAGACCTTTTACACACAAAAACGCTGTAACAAACAAAAAATGAACACAAAGCAGAATATGGGCCCTTTAACAGATATGAGAGTGGCATCGATCTTGTCGCGCAACTTGCACAAAAGCAAATAAGGATTCCTCTCGGACTTTTGAATCAGTTTTGTACCCAAAAAGAGTCTCTGTGCACTATGGATGCACTCCCGCTCACTTTATCTATAGATAGCCTACTTAGTGTAGCATTAACCTGTAAATACTGTTAAGATGTGTTTCTTCCTCGTGATTAATTCCTCATGTTTACATTTGGAGAGTCAGTTGAATGTGCCCCCACATGTGTCTTGGCTGGTACTATCGAAAGTTGGAATTTGTGGATATGCTTTTGTAAATGTAATAAGCTGTTTTATTTAAAGACAAAATTAAGCACCTTTGTGTAGTCTTACGTCTAAGCTCACCCCAGATACATGTATTTCTTATACTGCCATGGTTAACCAGTTAGGGCCACATCAGAAGTTATTTAATAATGGTACATTTTCTTTCTTCTTCTTCTTCTTCTTCTTTTTTTCTTTCTTCATGTGTCAAACACATGTTTTGTATTTTTGAGTTGCTGCTTTTGTACAGGGTCCAGTTTGAGACTGCCCTTTAAATGAAAAGTCTGGAGCTGTTGAATTGTGTTGTAATTGAAATATATTCTGGCTGTGATTAAATCCAATTTAGCCTTACTGGACAGTGAGCTCCAGGGTTGGAAATAAGCTAGAGTTTAGACATTTGGAGCAGTTTGAGGAGGTAATTTCCAACATTTTCAAAGTTAAAATGAACTTTATTATCGTTTAAGACAGGGGACTCATTACGTTTCTCCTAGCTAAATGTGCAAAATAAAGACAATAGATACACGTCTACAGACATGCATATTATATTATATTAAGCTCTATGTAAACAGTGACAACAAGAATTGCACAATGTAAAATGTAGCGACTGATTGTTAAGAACTGTTGCTCTCTTGTGGCAACTCAGTAAACTGCACTCAGATAGAAATCCTACGCTAAAGAAAGAGAAAAGTCTCCCTTTAAAGTATATTATCATTCATAGCGTGTCTCTATTTATCATTGGAGAAGCCCATTGTACTTTGGGAACAAGAAAAAGCTAAAAAATGTACACAGCAAGGTTGTTTTTTTTTCATTTTTTAATCTCACTTTGCTGTTTTGAGAAGCACTAACCCAAGAGACAATACTGAGATACTGTGGTTATAGTTTGTGTATTTGCCTTATCCATGGAGGGATTTGAATGTTTTTGTGTTATGGATAGTGATAGTAGCTGATGGCAAAGGAGGAGGGATAGTAGTTAATACTACTGATTTATGCACTTTGAATTTGTTTTGCCACACTCGCCCACAATGGGGCCACGTATGCAGATATAAGGTGAAAAAATAGGCAGCAGAGATCTATACTGACCGAAAAATAAAGTCCATAATTTGCAGCATTTGCAGAAAATTTTGAATCCAAAGGCAACGATTTTGCTTTTGAATGTACCACACAGAGATTGACACTCATAAATGATTAACAAAATGTACAAATTACAGTAAACTGCTGTGTTGTGTGTTCTAAACTGACCTGACCTGTGTTTGGTTTCCCAGAATAACTTACTTGCTGTGGTGTAGCATCCCGCACACTGACGGTAACTCGGCTGTAAAGAGTCTGTTGTGTCAGACGCTAAACTCTGTGTTTCAGTCGGCCTGTTTTACACTGTCCCGCTGTCTAACAAGTACCTGTGACTCCTCTCAGAGGGCGAATCCAGTCGCCGTTCAGCCAGTTTGTGACTGGCTTCGCTCTCCGATCATTACCATTATCAAGAGAAATGAGTTGTCTGTGTTATCAGTTTGCTCCAGTTGCAGGGGCTCAATATGTGACTGTTATATTTCACACCACGAGGAAAATGTAAAGGGAGGTGTCAGTTGCCAAATTGAGAAATGAAAAAGATATTAGTTCTAAAAGCACTTTATACTTCAATTCAGCTGGTATGGTTTAAAGGCTGATGTAGTAGAAGTTATTCAAATCAAATCTGCTGGTGACACGTGTGTTTTTTAATAGATGTTTGGCAGAAGATTACAGGAAATGATCAAAAACATGCCCCTGGCAGGTGTTCAGTCTTTTGAAACAGCGTTTAGACAAAAGTTCAGATCCTGCAGAAATAATCGTGTACCTGCATTGGAATCAGATCAAGAAATCTGCTCAGAATCAGGGCTTCCAAACCAGTGTAGTATTAATATAAATCAAACAAACCACATCGTATCCTTCAGATGGGAAGCAAATGATGCTGAGCAGAACAGTAGAGTTTTTTTAAAAGGCCAAAATGTACTAAACACATTTGCAAACTGTTGGTAAATGCTGAAATGTAATTTAAGGAACAAATGATTAGTTACACCCAACTTTACACACTATATGACACAAATAGTGCAGGACACAGGAACTAAAGGAACTAAAGAATCAGGCTATGAAGGTCTAAATCCGCCTTAGAACTCAGAATTTTGACTCTTCGTCTTGGATTATTTAGTGAACTAGTCTTCCCTCAATCCATCTGCACAGACAAAACCCATCTGTGGCATCAAAACAGCACTTATTTGAGATATATAGAGAAAATATATCCCAGACAGACATATTTATCCACGGCATCCCCCAAATCCTGAAAAGGAATAAAACAAACAGTTCTTATTTACTGATTTAAGAAAATAAAATAAAATCATATTTTACAGTTAAATGGCAGTAAAGCTGAGATTCTAGTAACTGAGAAGGGACATTTTGCACAGTGCACAGGAGTCCTATATTCTAGGCAGTTAGACTGTATGTCTTTAATTAGC